GTAGGGAGTTTTAATCCTTTGTCATACGCACCAACCGATTTCATCATTTTATCAAACAATGGACTTTTAACTAAATTGAAAGCTAGTGCATGCCCATAGAAGAAACGACATATGTCTTGAACCACCGGTTCTCTTTTCTTCATCAATTCATTTAATGTTTGTTGTCTTCCTCTAGCACCTTTCCCCTTACCTTTAATCACAAAAGAATCCATGGTTCGGGTCCCTCTTTCAACATCCACTATGAAGCATTCATTAGGATCCTCATTTTTTCCTTTCACACCTTCCAACATTTGTGAGAATTTTTCTGTAACATTCGGTGGACATTGGGTACATGGTGCTACATCAAGACGAGTCCCCGCCANCCTCATTTTTTCCTTTCACACCTTCCAACATTTGTGAGAATTTTTCTGTAACATTCGGTGGACATTGGGTACATGGTGCTACATCAAGACGAGTCCCCGCAAAATGATGCTTCATTCTACTCACACCACCCCATTTGTCAAGGCCACAATAATTGCACTTCAAGTGCATTCTATTATCACTCACACGAGAACAATGATCCCATGTCGGATCTTCATTCTTTTTCTGCTTCGTTTTTATATTCTTCTTTACCATTTTCAACTTCAACTTCAACTTTTCAACAACAGCAGCTGAAAAGAGAAAAAAAAAACCAACAACTCAATACTCCATGGACATCAAACCAGCAACCACCATTAGGACCTAGCACTCANCATTTTCAACTTCAAGTCTTCAACAAGAAGTAACAACTGAAAAGAGAAAAAAAAACAATAGAACATATAGCTTAGAACATATATATAGTTATTACAATTTACAAGAAGCAAATAACACAACATTACAAATTTACAAAAAGCAAATAAAGGAACAAAACTCCTTTTCAGCACAAAACACTGAAAACAGAAGGAGGAGTTCCAAGCTTCCAACCCAAAGCCTTCATCAAACTAGGCTACCAGCAACTTCTCCATCACAAAATTTCAAACAAATCAACACTCTATTTCAACCACAAACACCCAAAATAGAAACCCCCATGGACAACCACAAACACACTAAACAAATCAACACTCCATGGACAGCCACAAACACTCAAAACAAATCAACACAGCAACGAAAAAATAGAGCATGCTTCAGGTGAAAACTAGAGCATCATTTGAAGTTTGAAACCCACATTTATATTGTTTATATACAAAAATCTTCATTCATATTCGTCCACCCACAGACCACAGGAACAAAAAAAAAACAGAAATTAAGAAACTACAACAATAAAAAAACAGAGCACAGCTTATATAAAAATAGAGCAAAACTTGAAGAAGACGTAAGGCCTGCTATAAGGCTGTTACTGTTTCGCTGCGGGAAGAAGAAGAAGAAGAAGAAGAAAAAAAGAAGAAGAAAAGGAAGAGACATACCTCAGACTCAGAGCCGATGAAGCTTCAGCCAGCGTGGTGTGGTAGGTCCATGGTTCGAAGTCGCGGTATCGGCCATTAACTCGGAGGGTGCTGATACATATCGATCGTGGCGCGGTATTGGCCGATATGCTCAAAACGCAAGATAGAAGCTTCAAAAAAATTTTAAAAAATTTTAAAAATATAAACATCATCATTCATGCATCATATGTCCACAATACATTCAAAAACACATTAAACATAATTAAAATGAAACATAAAATCGCTACCGAGATTAATTATCATTATCATTGTTCAACATAGGCATTTAAGAACATATTGTGTATTTATTTACTGAGTAAAAAACCTGAAAAAAACAGCCAAAAAAAATAGGAAAAAAACACAACTTGTTTGAAGGGTATAGGAATTGAACCTAGGACTTCCTAGTTGGTAACATACATTTCCACCAATTGACCTATTGCTTGTATATAACTTTAAAGACAAATAAATATATTTAAAGACTCAGTAAAAGCCTGGAAAAAAAAAACCAGAAGCAAGAAAAAACAGATAAAAAAACCTGATGAGGTAGGAATTGAATCCATGACTTCTGGTTTGATAACCTACGTCTCTGCCACTTGACACATTGCTTTTATATGATTCTAAAGGCAAATATAAATATTTAAAGACTTAGTAAAAAAAAACCCACTTTATAACTTACCTGCACAGTCCTCTGTGCCACACTGCCCGTCACAACACAAGAGGGAGGGAGAGAGAGAGAGAGAGAGGCAGATAGAGAACCGTTCTTTACCAACGGCGATTCTTTGCCGAAGAAGACCAACGGTGATTCTTTGCTGAAGAAGATGGTCACAATGAAAGAGAAAGAAGAACCAAAGAAAAAACAGAAGAAGAAGATGCAGATTACAGACTCTATTTGTTTGATCTCCAGGTATGTCTTAAATCCTAAGTCCTCTTGGTTTTATAGTTGAAAAATAGGGGTTTAGGTTACCAAGTTCACATGTGTTTCTGCCATGTACGATTAAGTTTCACATGGGTTTCTCATCAATATAGCAAAGTGGTCGGACTGATTCTTTGCTTTTGCTTTATTTCTCATCCTCTCTTTGCTTTATTTCCCATCCTTTTTTTTTTTTTTGGATTTTTGTTCAACCTGAAAAAATGACTGACTGATATTTAGGCTTTTACAGATGTGGGTTTGGATTTTTGTTCTTTGTCTTAGGATTTTTCACTGCCTATTTCGTCTTGAAATGATTCTGGTAAGGATCGGCCGAGTTCTTCTTATATCGTCCGATACTAACGAGTTGAACCGAGATATCGGCGATATCTGATCAAATCGTCATTTTCCCGTACCGCGTACCGTTATCGTAACGACATTGGCCGAGTCAGATACGACTCGGCCGATAGTTTGAACCATAGGTGGGTCTCCTTCAAGGCTTCAACAGAAAACGTTCTTTGACAAAGTGAGAAAGAGACAAAGATGGAATATTTATTTATTAGGGCCTGTCTCCTTGAAAAAACGACGTCGTTTTGACTACCTAAGCTTCAACAGAAAACGTTCTTTGACAAAGTGAGAAAGAGACAAAGATGGAATATTTATTTATTAGGGCCTGTCTCCTTGAAAAAACGACGTCGTTTTGACTACCTAAGCTTCAACAGAAAACGTTCTTTGACAAAGTGAGAAAGAGACAAAGATGGAATATTTATTTATTAGGGCCTGTCTCCTTGAAAAAACGACGTCGTTTTGACTACCTAAGCTTCAACAGAAAACGTTCTTTGACAAAGTGAGAAAGAGACAAAGATGGAATATTTATTTATTAGGGCCTGTCTCCTTGAAAAAACGACGTCGTTTTGACTACCTAAGCTTCAACAGAAAACGTTCTTTGACAAAGTGAGAAAGAGACAAAGATGGAATATTTATTTATTAGGGCCAGTCTCCTTGAAAAAACGACGTCGTTTTGACTACCTAAGCTTCAACAGAAAACGTTCTTTGACAAAGTGAGAAAGAGACAAAGATGGAATATTTATTTATTAGGGCCAGTCTCCTTGAAAAAACGACGTCGTTTTGACGTTTATGTGGGTTTAAAAAAAAAAGAAAACGAATCGAACAATATAGCCGATTCGGTTCGATTCGTGCGATTCACTTATGATGCCAAACCCAAATTGATTCATACATAAGATACGAATCGCCCACCCCATGAATTGAACCGAATCGTACGATTCGACTCGCAAATCGTACGATTTTAACAACAGTGCTTACACCTTTTATTTGGCTATATATACAGGTAGGTTTGTCAAAATTCGACACGACACGATTAACCGACACGAATTAAGTGGGTTTTGGTGAGATCTTAACGGGTTTGGGTGGTGATCTTAACGGGTTTGGGTGGTGATCTTAACGGGTTTGAGTGGTAAACGGATTAACCTGCTAAACACGTTTAATAAATGGGTCGTGTTCGAGTAAAACCTACTAAACTGTTTATCACATGTTTACACATTTAAATAAAATTAATATAATAATAAATTAATAATTATTTTAAAAAATTAGTCAAAAAAAAAAAATAAAGAAATCAATACAAAAAAAAGTAAAATAGTAGTTCAAAGACAAAGGTAAAGAGATGGAGAGCAATTAATGACAAAGGCAAACCAACCCCTTTTGTTTTTGTCCCACATCGACAAATGAAGGGAGATAGGGATGGTTGGCTTGCCTATAAAAGGCAATGGTCTCTTGCCTTTTTTTTTAGCCTTCAAGTTTGATTTTGATGTAAAATTCAACTAAAAATTCCTCTTTTTTGAGGTAAATACAATTGGCAGTAAAAAAAATAGTGTATTAAAATTTATTGATATAATTTTTTTTTAAATTAAACAAGTCGTGTCGTGTTACCCATTTATTAAACGGGTCAAGATCGTGTTCGTGATGAGATTTTTCACCTGTTTATTAAACGTGTCGTGTACGGGTTTACGTGTATTTCACCCGTCACCCATTTAACTCGACACATAATCGTTTAACCCAACACGTTTGACACCCCTATATACAGGGTCTGCACTCAATTTGTACATTCTTTCTCTCAAAAAATTCTAGTTATTCATGTTATCTAAATAAATGGAGAGCATGGAATAAACATTAATTGTACCTAATAGACGTCAAGCAATAACTCCTTTCTGGCTTACTAGAAGGCTTAACTTGCAAGTAGGCATGCAACCTTCCAGCAGGATCTAGTGAATCTGTTCTCACCATTTTATGCATTGCAACTCTCTGTAATTTCGATCCTGTAAAATTCGACAACAAAACAACAAACAAATAGACAAATTAGATCCAATAACATTTGATGTCAGCAAGGGGAAAAAAAGAAAATATCCTGCATACCGGATTGTGGAGCATCAGAAGGAGAACATTTGTTTGTAACCATAGCACTTGATGGAGATGGATCTACTATCTGTTTCGATAGTAAAACAAAAGATACCAGCAATTAGTAAACAAGTTAGTAAGTGTAGATATGCCCATAGTGAAAAAAGCAAAAGTGTAACACTAGAAGCACTGAAACATCTTGAAACAACTTGAAACATAACGAAAAATTAGTGAAAACATGTCAAAACATTCTAAAACAACTTAACGCATTGAAATTTTGATTTAATTATTGATTCATTTCAATCCCCTCAGAAACAAAAGCATTTTGCCCGTTTCGGCCATATCGTCACGAATATTTTGATCCTTAATTAGGAGGTTCAGTTGGTGAATGGTACATTGGTTACAGGGTTCAAAGTATCCAATGCGNACACCAAAATTAAAGTCCTTCGCAATGACAATGGAACTGAGTACATTATGGCAAATTTCGCTCTTACCTTAATGAAAGTGGCATCATTTATCAAACTACTTATGTGACTACCCCAGAACAAAATGGTGTTGCAGAGCTAAAAAATCACCTTCTTCTTGAGATTGCTCGTTCAATGATGTTTAATATGAATGTCCTCCCGCATTTTTGGAAAAATGTAATTCTTACCACGACTTATCTTATTAATCATCTACGTTCTAGTGTCCTATAGTTTAAGTCTCATATTGAGTGTCTTTCTGGAATTTTACTGATTCCTTCTGTTTCTTCTCTTCTTCTTAAAGTTTTTGAGTGTATCTGTTTTGTACATGACTATAGAGCATCTAGAGGGACACTTGCTCCTAAGGCTCTGCGGTGTGTCTTTGTTGGTTATTATCTTACTCAAAAGGGGTATAAGTGCTACCATCCTCCGTCTCAAAAGATGTATGTTAGCATGTATGTCACCTTTCATGGGTTTGAATATTTTTTTCTCTCCTCCTCAACCATCTCTTCAGGGGAAAACACTGCTATTGAGGAAGAGATGGCATGTCGGGAGCCATTTCTAATTGCTTTTAGTAATAAGGGGGAGCAACAAATTGTTGGTACTAATGATCCACCTGGTACTCTGAAGACTTGCTCTCAACGTCAAAAGGTACAGAGTACTCATGTGCTTCCGGGTCAATTGAATTCCTCTACTCCAGTTCTAGCACGTCCTACTGATTCACTAAGTAATGAGCTTCCAGTTCCAATACCTAGGTTATTGACAAGTATTAAAATTTCGTTTCAGTATATTGTTTTGATCATCTAGGAAACGAAAACGAAAACGTTTGGACATATTTTAGAAATGTTTCGTCCCGTTTTGGAAACATAATAAAAAATTTAAGAATAATTTTTCTAAAATATTGGCCAAAATATTTTGAAATATCTTAAAACATTCCAAAACAATTATACAAATACATTGAAATATTATAAAACATCTCAAAACGTTATGAAATACCTTGAAATATTAGAATATCGATTTCATCACTGATTCGTTTCGATCCCCTTAAAAATAGAAAGTTTCTAATATTTTAATCCTTGGTTATTGATAATTCAACTATTGATGATTTTGGGCTTTCCTATTGCAATTAGGAAAGGTGTTCAAACTTGTATTCAACACCACACATCTAACTTTGTTTCTAATGATTCATTGTCTCTATCTTTTGTACCTTTGTTTCTTATTTGTCATCTATCTCTATTCTTCAAAGTTGGAAGGAAGCTCTCACTCATCCAAAGTGGTGAGAAACTATAGTAGAGAAAATGAGAACCCTAAAAAAACGACACACGGAATTAGCTCCACTTCCAATTGGTGCAAGAGCAATTGGGTGCAAATGGGTGTTCCCAGTTAAACAATAAACCAATGGTTCAGTTGAAAGATACAAGGCAAGACTGGTGGCTATGGGATTCACTCAGACATATGACATTGATTATCAGGAAACTTTTACCCTTTTGCAAAGATGAACTACATACGTGCCCTTCTGTGCACACCTGCAACAGTTGGATGTGAAAAATGTCTTTCTCCGTGGAGACTTGGAGGAGGAGATATACATGGAGATTTCACTTGATTTTTCAACTCAAGTAACTGAAGGAAAGGTACATAAGTTGAAGAAAACGTTTCGACCTGTTTCGAAAATAAAATAAAAAAATAAAAATATTAAAAATTATTTTTTCAAAACATTAGTCGAAATATACCAAAATATCTTAAAATACCTTAAAATATTTTAAAATAATTATGCAATTGCATTGAAACATTACAAAACATATTGATATATTTTTTTGGGATTGAGGTTGCCAGATTAGACAAAGACATATTTTCATCTCCTAAAGAAAATATGTTATTGACCTACTTGAAACAACTGATATGTTGGGATATAGACCTACAAATTCCCCTATTAAAGTCAATCATCGACAGGTGAATGGAGTTGGTGATGTTGTGGATAAAGAGAGATACAAAAGATTAGGAGGGAGATTAATTTCTCTCTCATACTTGGTTAGATATTGCTTATGTAGTTAGAGTTATAAATCAATTCATGCATGGTACTCAAGCCCCTCTTCTTGAAGCTGTTTACTATATTTTGAGGTATCTCAAGTCAGCCCCCGAGAAAGAGATCTTATTCTCTAATAATGGTCACTTGAAGCTAAAAGCATTCACTGATGTAGACTTTAAAGGTTCAGTAGATGACAAACGATGCACTTCACCCGACTGCACCTTGATGGGAGGAAATATCGTCATATGGGGAAGTAAAAAGCAAGCGATGGTAGCTAGGTCTGGTGCAAAGGCTAAATATAGAACAATGACCCATTGAGTTTGTGAGCATATGTGGCTCCAAATCCTACCAAGTCAGCTCAAAATTCGTAGTGATGATGGGCCTATAAGACTGTACTATGATAATAAAGCAGCTATTAACATTGCACACAATTCAGTTCAACATGATAGAACTAAAGGTGTTGAGATTAATCGACACTTCATCAAAGAAAAATTGAACTGAATAGGGGTTTGATTTGCATGCTCTTTGTGAAATCAAAAATTAATTGGCTGATGTTTTCACAAAGGAGCTTAGTAGCAAATGTTTTCATTCTATCATTCACAAGTTAAGCAAGAGAGACATTTATGCACCAAGAGGTGTGTTATGTTATATATGATGTGACCCTTAATGGCATTTTTGGTACATTGAGGTTATATATATATTGGGATGTAATTGCATACCCTAACACACTACTATCTTCTCATATTTTTTCATTCTCTCTCTTCCTCTCTTCCCGAAACTCTTAACGGTATCATACTCTAATTTAAACGCTAGTGAATTATCTATGCCAATTGAGGTCACCATGCCATTTTTAGAATCTCAATGGGTGTCCGTGTTATTTGACCTAAAGTAGGGGAGTCTGCATAAGATTTATCCCAAATAATTTTGTGATAGGGTATGGTTGAATTGCGAGGAAGCCAAATCACAAAAGATCAATCAGACTAATGGCTGGAAGGATCTTTCACCTTTCATATATGATATCAACGAAGACGGTGATGATTGCCTGATGTCCATTTGCTTAGGCCTTAAACATCTGTAAAGAAGTAACAAGTAAAACAAAGAACTTGTACAAAAAATCTACCCAATATAGGGCACCACCCTACAAAATAAACCTCAGTTGCACCACTGAAATTTTTCAAAGGGAATATAAAAGGATCAAATTGTAGGTGCAGATGAACTTTACGTGATATCCATCCAATTAATTTGCATTTCTCTCTCTCGGTCTCTTTTTTGGGGACAACTTGAAGTGCTAATTTTTGTTATTCAATTATTTTCTTCTTACTGTTAATTATCCTTTCCTCCCTAATTCAAATCACATAAGCACAAAACAAATACTCTAAATACGAGTCATATGCATAACCCAGTCCAATATTTAAGGATTCAGGGAAGCCCAGAAATTTAATGACCAAGTCAAGAAGTGCTGGGAGCAGTAACTTACTCATCCAAGATTTGACATAGCATCCAACAAAAACTTATATTTCAACATCTATATAGGCAGATATGTACAATAAATATATGTATATATAAATACATGCATATATCTGAGAGGGAGAGAGAGAGAGAGAGAGATGAAACACAAGAACACACTCACGTCAACGTCAGACAAGTGCCCTGCCATTATTCTTAAAGGCTGTATTCTGTCCATAGACCAAATCCTTGCCGTTCGGTCATGTGATGAGCTGGCAAAATAATGTCCTACTGGACTAAACTGCAATCAGGAGAAAAAACAAAAAGGACATGAGATTAGCTGATATGTGGAATGTGTATTTTCATGCTTCAACTTTAGCATGCATGGGTACATGTGCACCAACATACGCGGGACAGGTAATGAAGAGGGGAAAAGAAAAGGCAAAAATACTAAATGTATTCCACACATAAAATTCCTCGCAAAAGACCAAGTATGTTTAAGTCCCCCAAAAATTATTGTGGACATCAGAACAAGTAATAGTCCAAAGAATCTCGAGGTAACCATAAGAAATGTCTTAAACAAGTTGCCTAAGCACTTCAGAATGTACAACAAATCAGTGATATAATGTGTTACATTATGAATGCCACATTATCCATTTCCAGCGTATGTGTAATATAAAAGAAAGACACTTTGTCTGGTTAACCCAGTTTATGCAGAGCCTATGTATATGTAACCCAAGAATGAGCAAAGCCACGCCAGGTCAGGGTGCATGGCTGAGCACACGCGTGGTAGAAAACCACCTTGGCCAGGCCCTCTCCCGTCCACAGAAGCGGAATGCACCTAAGGGTCCAGTTTATGCAGATCCTTGTGACGTCCTTCTATCAATATAATCTCTACTTAATTAAAGTACCAAATATGAGTTCAGCGACTAATTTCAGAAAGCTCTGGTTCAAATCGAGCTTCTCCAGCATCAACAAAGAATAAAACTGAGAAGAAACTTCAGTCTTTTGAACCAAATATAAGATGGCTAATAAATAAGTATGAGCAAGAAATGCATCAATTAATTGTGAGAAAGACAACAGATGTCATCCACAAAACGGAAAATGAAAAAACAATATCAGCAACATGGAGAAAATGGTTAGAAACAATCTTGTTACACAGGTTTCTCTTTAAGTTTTTCATAAATAAAGCAAGATAATGTTGGTTTGCATTTCTTGCTTTTGATGAGTAAAACATGATAATAGTGATGGCAACTTTGCAAACAGGAAAGTTTCTTGCACATTTTCAAGTTTCCAAGGCACATTTTACATGACCAAGAAAAAACAGAGAGCAAATATTATACCTTAACATCCCATACAGGGTAATTATGACCCTTGTAGCAGACAAGATTGGCATTTAATTTAGTGCTCCACAATCGAACTGCAGCATCGTAACATAGTTCAAGTTATACAGTAGTTTCAGAACTGATATCAGTTTATGTTAAAGCACGAAACTGAACCTCAACTAGCAACTCTTTGACTAAAGATGACAAACAAAACAAGAAGCTACATGACAGCTGAGGATAACATACTTGTTGAATCTGATGAAGAGGACAGAAGAAAATCCCCGAATGGACTAAAAGTGGCCGAGTAAACAGGTCCAGAATGACCTTGAAATAATGTATAAGATCTTCTCCCATCATGTGGTCCAAGCTTATGTTCACCTGAAGCCGAATCCTCACCCTGCAAAATAGCTGGCATAATATTGTTTAATACTATTTTCACTCTATTTTCTTCCCCAGGTAATTACCAGAATTTCCCTTTAAAAAAGGCAAGATACAGACTTCTCTTATATTATATTTAGAAAAGACAAATAAACAACAATTTTCACCATAAAAGAAAATAAAAAATAAGGTGCAAGAAAAGAGGCACGAGCCTCTTTTTTTTTTTTTTTAATATTATCTAGAGCATAATGATAATGTTTAAAAGAACATTTGTCCGAGGTTCTGCTGATATTTTACATTTAATAAGTCTCTTGATTTTTTTTGTTTTATATTCCGAAACATAATTTAATGTATAGATTAAGTTAAAAAGTAAAAAAATCATTTTCAAAATACTAAGCAAATCGAATTTGAAGTTGCACATTCAAACATGGTAAATAGACTAATTAACTAGATCCAAATTTGTGTTTTCATGGAGGCTTGGATGTAGTTCACTTAAAGTACAGTTTTAAGATAGTCAAAGCTCATGGCAGGGAAGAGGTTACAATTGTCCTTAGAAATAGAGTACAATGACAACAAATTTAATCAAACGTTAAAATAACCATGGAAAACAAGACACTGAAATTATACTGGTAAACCTGCACAATTTTTTTTTTTTCCAGAGATTGAAGAAAGTAGAAGAAATTTTTCCACCAATAACCGTGCAAAAGTTAACCACCTAATTGCAGTTTTAACTGTGTGAAATTGAATAGTATGACATATTTAGCCAAAAAGAAAGAAATAATTAATGTGGCTCAGTGCATGAGGTTCCCGCCACTACGGGGTCTAGGGAGGGCCTAATGTACGCAACCTTACCTCCGCATGTGAAGAGGTTGTTTCTGCAAAGAAAGAATCAATGAAAGCATGAAAAAATGAACGGGATAAAGTTTCATCTGAATACAAAAAAACAAGAAGTATTATAACGAATTATAACATGAAATGAACATGATTAAACCCTAGCATATACACTTGAAGTTAAAGATTAATTACATTACAAGTGGGGCAATAATCATGGTAATAAGATGCCCGTCGTGTTTCTAACCTATTCCAACTTATAAATTGCAATCTTATAATTTTATAGGACAATCATTTTAACACAAAAATAAGAAGAAAGTGAGGCAAGTGATTCTTAACAATAGATTTTTCGTAATTTCTGGAAATTGACTAGAACTCCAGTGTTGTCAAGTCATAGAATCTTGGAACATACCTGGTGACATATAAACTATGCACACGGATACAAGATACAAATCCAAGAGCAAGTAAATAAGTCAGTAAAAGATTTCTATAAAAAAAAATAGGACAAGGTCGCATCAAGGACACAGCATAATAAAGAAAAACATGTCTATATGTGTACAGTAGAAAAAATCATGATTCATGGCACAACTTTTTGCCACGATATATTCGTGAATTTGAGAAAAAATATTGTCTACCATATATTCAAGGTTCCAAAAGGCTAATGTTGCAGCCTTGCAGGACATGGAGTTGAACAAGATGCTGCACAGAATATAGATAAGAAAGAAGGAAATTCCAAAAGTACACGTATGCAAAACTTTTGGAGCATGTGTAATAAACTTTGGATTAAATTAAAATCTGATTTGATATCAAATTTAGGCCAAAAAGCTGCTGGGATTATTCAATTTACATATTTTTAGGCTTTATCATCATGGGTATGTTGGTCTTTCAACAGTGCTAGACACAGGCACTATTTTTTGGGTCATTTTAGGTCAGAATAATTGGATTGGGAGTCATAATGCTGATATTATTATGAGAGACTAACAACCTTTGAAGTGAAGAGATGAATTGCACTTGGAGAGCTNATAAATGGATTGGGAGTCATAATGCTGATATTATTATGAGAGACTAACAACCTTTGAAGTGAAGAGATGAATTGCACTTGGAGAGCTGTGTGAAACTTTAAAAGCCATTTAGGATGTTAAATACACCTACATTGTTTCACAATTATCCAAAACTTCGGTTGCTGACGTTGATAAATCTCACTATTTAGGACCTTATTCACCGATTCAGGTCTTTATTGGATTGGGAAATAGTTTTGCTTATCCAATGTTTCGATATATCTAATAACAATACAACACATTCTGCAAAGGATTCCAATGAAGCAACTGGATGTCTAACTTAGCCCCATATGACAAGGCCAATCAACAGAGATACTTTAACAATTCATCCTGGAATGTATATCTCATACATAAACTTCTCTCTCTCTCTCTCTCTATATATATATATACACATCTAGATATAGGCCACATTTATAAATTGTGGTTCACTTTTGCAGATGCTTTGATGGTGAATTTTGGCAATGCAAGACTCAAAATGTATGCTAAAGAATGGAGGTTTGAGTCCCCTTCAATGCATAATATTGAGAATACTCACTTCATGAGCACAGCAATATGAGAGTTTGGATGATGTCTGCCAATAATAATTTTTATTAAGACCAGCCGACACATCTATTAAGGCCAACACTTCATACCTTGTCCATTACTACCAAAGAACTAAGATATCACCACACACGAAAACATGGCTTGATTTGAACAAGCTTAAATATAGAATTTCACACAAGAATTTGGAATACTACAGATTAACTTGCAAGAATTACTGCTAAAAATAAAGTAAGTTAACAGTAATTCATAGAGCGGTCAGTCCAGAAAATAATTGTATGTGAGGGGTTAAAAGAGGTTCACAAATGTGTCTATGCCAAGTGTACTCAAAGGGATGAGTAGTACAAGTGGATGGGATAGAAGGACTTGAGCTGTCTATGCAAAAGATTTCTTGGGTAGGTGGTGAGGGTAAATGCCCTCACCAACAAAGATGCTTATCTCAGACCAAATAGAAATGTGTTATGAGGCACGTAATGCAGGTATTTATAGTGCAGTACTCAGGCATGTCAGGCTGTCCCCATGGGTTGCNAACCAACAAAGATGCCTATCTCAGATCAAATAGAAATGTGTTCTGAGGCACGTAATGCAGGTATTTATAGTGTAGTACTCAGGCATGTCAGGTTGTCCCCATGGGTTGCCTGTCATTTCCCTTGTACAAACTGTACTAACAACTGCGCTGACCGCAACTATCTCGACTGCCACGATACCGGTGGTGGCTCATCACGAGCCACATATCCCAGCATTAATTAGGCCGATGTGACGTTTCTTCGAACACATCTTGGACGAGGCACTCGAGGAAGAGTGCGATAGNCACCAACAAAGATGCTTATCTCAGACCAAATAGAAATGTGTTATGAGGCACGTAATGCAGGTATTTATAGTGCAGTACTCAGGCATGTCAGGCTGTCCCCATGGGTTGCCTGTCATTTCTCTTGTACGAACTGTACTGACAACTGAGCTGACCGCAACTATCTCGACTGCCACGATACCGGTGGCGGCTCATCACGAGCCACATATCCCAGCATTAATTAGGCTGATGTGACGTTTCTTCGAACACATCTTGGACGAGGCACTCGAGGAAGAGTGCGATAGTGAAGGTAAAAAAGGAGACTCCCGAGGTTAAAGCCATGATTAGTCATAATGCGCCCGTGGGGGGGGTTCATGTCTACCATTACCCCTCTAGACTCTTCCCTAAGGCCTTTGCCGAGGTGCCCAATAAAGAAGACCCACATAATTTCAATACTTCAGCCACCAATTTACANCGGGTTCATGTCTACCATTACCCCTCTGGACTCTTCCCTAAGGCCTTTGTCGAGGTGCCCAATAAAGAAGACCCACATAATTTCAATACTTCAGCCACCAATTTACATGTCTCATTATCTCAAATGTTGATTCGGACCAATGACTCCAGTTACCATAGAACTCCTTTTGAATCCCAGTCAAGCACATCCTTGCTCAAACAAACTAAAACTTCGAAACTCTGCTCGAGGCTAAGGTTGACAATCATGCTCGTCTGCCTCGTTGCTCAGTTCTCCCTTGAGGAAAGTCATACTACCCGGTCCCTCGGTGAGAACCTCTCCTCTTAGTCTACTGAGCCAGTTGAGCAACGACATTCCAATGATTGATTTTACCATAACAAAAATCCAATGGGTTCCAAGTTCTCTATAGAGGTCCCAATCTGAGGGTACCCACTGAGGAAAAGTTGAGGATACAAATTCTATCCATTGTGAGATCCCAACTTTGTCTCTTATTTCCGTAGTGGGGGAGGCGAATCAAGTTGAGGTTGCGCCCATACTTCCCAGCTGCCACTCTTATCCGTTCTTGGTCAAGGATCCATTTTGCCACTTCCCATGTGATGCGGATGTGTCCCACCCTTCAATAGTGCTTGATGCTTCCCGATGCCTGCCGTGGCACAAGGTACGTACCGTGACACTGGGTGTTGTCGCAGCAACACCCCGTCGCGATGCTATTGCCTGTACCAATTCTGTGGGACCCTGTTGAGCCCCACTCACATGTCATTTGTCCTTCCACATTGTAGACATATGTCCAGAATTTATTGGATACTAAAGATATTTTCCAACTAACAGTTGTTATACAACACAAGAACAAGAATTTCAGCAAAAAATTTGGCATACTATAGACTGAATTGCAAGGGTCACCTAGAAAAAGAGATTTAGGTAGTAGTAATTCATGGAGTGATCAGTGTGGAAAATAGTTGTCTGAGATTTTCCACCTGACACATTATACAGCACAAGAATAGCCCGAACATTATATTGTATCATATGAAAAAATCTCCCCCCTACCACATCAAGAGCATTGCCCCTTACATAACTTTGGCTTTTAAATTGAGATGATACTATTATTCTCCAATATAATTTCTTCACCACACAAATGATTTAACGCACCATGATGTTTCAAAAGAGACTGAGCAACAGATATAGCAAAATGTTCCCAAGCATAACACACAAATGCATTATCAAATTGAAAGAGGAAACTAGGGTGAGAGACTTACAACTGCCAGTTTGTTGACCAAGCTTTGCCATGTCCCAGACCTGCAGAACACAGTTAGTACATTGCAAACACCAAAACCAAGTAGATATTGATTAAGCAAACTATAAGGAGAAACAATGAAACCTTCAGTGATGAGTCAGAAAATCCACCAGCAACCATGGATCCATCTGCAGATATTGATGAACAGTTCAAACTGCAACACATTTGACACAAAGATCAACGGTTGTGCACAAACAGAAGTCGGAAAAAAATAAGTCAGAGAAGACAACTTTCTCAATCAAGTGGCATACCCATTATGCGTGTTAATAAACGTATAGAAGCTGACTGAAGGCAGCGCGATACTACTCAACTGTACGCGGTTCCGTAGGTCTTCAAGAATAGAATGCTCTACTTCTGTTGGCCTGAGATGGACCACATAACATCAGCATCATTGTTTCTCAGCTCTCAACCCTACCAAAGCTAATATAAAATGAATCCTTTCATGATAGCATCATAATCACAGTTGACGTGGAAGAGCATAAATTATGATGAACTCTGTGCAATATCGTCCAATGCATATTTCCCACCCGTAAAAATGATTCAACAAGAAGGCTAATAGAAAAAGAAAGGTTGCTTTTGCAGGTGTTTTATTCCCCCTTACGCCACTTTAAAGTACCGAAGGGACTGTCTGGGTGCAAACAGCTTGTGCATGTGCGTGCAAGATGCAAGTGCAAGTGGGTGGCTGTGTGTGTGTATGCGCATTAGTACATATCCACACATTTACATGCACTACATAGGTGTTAACAGAGCTGGAGAAAAATAATACCGTACAAATGAAGGTAGTTTACTTACAAACTACTACTACAAGAAACAATTCAGAAAGATTTATTTTGATGCTCAACTTTTTTAAAGAGAAGGTGAATGCAAGAAGAGACTCGAGAAAAAAGCGAGTGATGGCAATTGTTGGAAATTAACTTTAAAATTAAAGAAGAAAAACTCCCACAAAACATGCTTACAAAGATTCGCCCTCATGAAAGTGACTGGAATTCATGTCCCATGTTCCTTCTTTTAAATGTCTACTATGTTATTCCCACTTCTCAAACCAAAGTTGCAATACAACTTTTTCATGTTTCCTTTAAGATATCAATAAAATTTACAAAGAGGCATATATTCATTTCCAGTTACATATTCCATGAAACTATACAAAGTGGCACAACATAATATGCTGTAAAATAACTTATATTCCTTTTGGGAGCAAAAATAAAGAAAGCATGTAAATAATGTTCGAATATTGCAAGTAAGAGGAAGAGTGAGTTTCACTTTTTGTCCTGGATCCCTAACAGATCTGATGTGGTCACAACCATTGGTATCAATAAAATGACTTCTACTACCTCCAATAGCTGCACAACCATGGCAATAAACCAAACCCAAAAATAACCTATGCCTCATCCTTCACACCAACATTCTAGGCAAGGTGAAAATGCTGTAAAAAATCATTGACCATGAAAACAACATTAATCTTCTATATTTTTTACAAATAGTGTCCTCTTAAAGGGCTTACATCCAAACATTCAGACCTAAGAAACATGAACGCTACTAAAAATTGTTGCGCTCATGTCGAGCACAATCCAGTGATAGAAATGTCTTGAATACTATTGAACATGTGTTTTGACCCTCTTATGGCAATGTCTCTGATGCTCCTTACACTATGTCTATGANCAAAGATTCGCCCTCATGAAAGTGACTGGAATTCATGTCCCATGTTCCTTCTTTTAAATGTCTACTATGTTATTCCCACTTCTCAAACCAAAGTTGCAATACAACTTTTTCATGTTTCCTTTAAGATATCAATAAAATTTACAAAGAGGCATATATTCATTTCCAGTTACATATTCCATGAAACTATACAAAGTGGCACAACATAATATGCTGTAAAATAACTTATATTCCTTTTGGGAGCAAAAATAAAGAAAGCATGTAAATAATGTTCGAATATTGCAAGTAAGAGGAAGAGTGAGTTTCACTTTTTGTCCTGGATCCCTAACAGATCTGATGTGGTCACAACCATTGGTATCAATAAAATGACTTCTACTACCTCCAATAGCTGCACAACCATGGCAATAAACCAAACCCAAAAATAACCTATGCCTCATCCTTCACACCAACATTCTAGGCAAGGTGAAAATGCTGTAAAAAATCATTGACCATGAAAACAACATTAATCTTCTATATTTTTTACAAATAGTGTCCTCTTAAAGGGCTTACATCCAAACATTCAGACCTAAGAAACATGAACGCTACTAAAAATTGTTGCGCTCATGTCGAGCACAATCCAGTGATAGAAATGTCTTGAATACTATTGAACATGTGTTTTGACCCTCTTATGGCAATGTCTCTGATGCTCCTTACACTATGTCTATGAGTATAAAGATGTGATCGAAACAAGATATGCTAACATGTGATAAACAAAACTGTTATGGATGCATGTGTTATCCTTTTATGGGATTTGTGGAGAAAGGCAGCTAGTTTATTCACTTCTGTTCTGATGGCGTGATGAAATACAAAGTAAGGTAGAGATTTGTTGTGGATGTCTTGTTTTCTACTCCTAGTAAAAAACAGGTTTAAATTTGTTCTCGTTAGGGATTTGAAAAAGTGGGTGTCTTAAAACTTCACTTCAAGTAAAAGACCAATTACAAACCCTGTTGTATTAGGAGGCAAAGTATTTTAGGTCTATAAATAGATTATATTCTCTATGCTAGAAAATTTTGTGTAATCTCCTTTTTATTGATAGTGAAACTTTGTCGCTATGTATACACACAAATATATGTAGATCAATTCAAAAGCCTACTCTACAAGCGAAATGTAGCAACAAAAGGAAGATTTGACAAAATTCTCTAGCCCAGAGAATATAACCCAACATGGATGCCCAAAACTGAGGGGGCCAAAATTCCCAAAAGAAAATGATTGGTCTATAATCTATTTATAGACTCAAAATACTTTCTCCTAATACAATAATGTTTGTAATTGGTCTTTTAGTTAAAGTGGAGTTGTAAGCCGTCCACTTTTTCAAATCCCTAAGAAAAACAAATTTCAAACCAGTTTCCTACTAGGAGTGGATTACAAGACATCCACAACAAATCTCCACCTTGACTTATATTCCATTAAGCCAACAAAACAAAAGTGCACGAACTAGCTGCCTTCTCTACAAATCTCATAAAGGGATAACACAAACATCCATAACAAATATCCACATGTGTACCCACCAAGTCATTAAAACAAAGTGAATATAACTTGTTGCCTTCTCAAGAATAATAAATATATTGAATCTCTATCGGAGGTGATCATAATATCTCATCAAGAACTTTTGTCAAAGTATTCCATCAACGCAACGATATGCATCTAGATCAAACTATTCAGAACACAAGTTTTATAAATTGAATTGTTATGTAGCAATCTCGACACCAAAGCTCTGATACCAGTTTGTTATTGTTAAGAGTATTAGGGTAGTATATGTAAATTGTTAATAGTGTTAGGGTATTATGTGTAAATACAAGAGGGTGTGTATGTGTAATTCTTATGATTATGAGTTACCTATAAATACAAGTGATGTATGAGAGCTAAGTTAGGTTTTGAACCCCTCTCTCTCTAATATTGTGTTATGTTAATTCTCTCAACCTAACATGGTATCAGAGCAAGGTTATTTTTCAATACAAATATTAATCCTGGTTTGTTACTGTCAATGTGGTGTTGTTGTCATTGGTATAGTCGACGTTGGTGGTGTCGACTTAGTCTGGTTTTCTGCTTCATGGTGGTGCAGTCGACTAGTGGCATCGTTGGTGACGTCTATCTTCGTGGTGGTGTAGTCGACCTTGGTGGAGTTTGATTTTTGCCTCGTAATCTGTTGTGGTGGTGTTCCACAGTGAAGGAATAGGGTTTGGTAGAAACCCTAACCAGTGAAAGAGAAGACCCTGTTCAAGTGGGTCAGTTTACGGGTTTGGGTAAAAGATCCAAGTCCAAATCCAGACCTTGATCCAAGATCCAAACCAGATTGGTCCAAGTCTAGTTCAATCAGTTTTAGACCAGTTCAAACCAGCTTATTTGGTCTGGTTCAACGGTCCAGTGGGCTTATCTGGTCCGGTTCAGCGGTCTAGTAGGCTTCTCTGGTCCGGTTCGGTGTTCTAGCATGTCTCTCTGGTCCAATTCAGTGCTCCAGTGGGTCTCTGTAGTCCAGTTCAGTCCTAAAGTGGGATTCTCTAGTCCGATTCAGCAAACCAGCCAGCCTATTCTTCTCGGTTCAGTGGTCCAGCAAGCCCAGCCAATCCGATTCAGCCTTCTAGCAGCCTTCTTTTCTCTGGTTCAGTATTGCAACGCTTCTTGTTTCATATTTGCTGCACTGTAATGGAACCCAAACAAGATACCAGGTCTTTTACTTCGTCTTTGTCACCCTTATTCTTATCAATGGTCCTATTACCTCTGTTAAACTCAATGGAATCAATTATACTTTATAGTCCCGATCCGCTCAAGTATTTCTTTGAGGCAAAGGATTTAAGAAATATTTGGTGGATCCTAAGCCCAAGGAAGATACTCTTGGGTATGATTAGTGGGAACAAGAGGACGCTCAAATTATGTTTTTACTATTGAATAGCATTGAGTCTAGTATTAGTTCTACTCTACTCTACCTTGAAACTGTCAAGGAGATATGGAATCACTTGGCCACTATGTATTCTGGTACAAGTAATTTTATCCCGTGCGTATGAGGTGTGCAAGGAGTACTTCCGGTTAGAGTAGGGTACTCTGAGCCTTGCGGATTATTACTCTCATATTCGGGGANTGACGCTCAAATTATGTCTTTACTATTGAATAGCATTGAGTCTAGTATTAGTTCTACTCTACTCTACCTTGACACTGCCAAGGAGATATGGAATCACTTGGCCACTATGTATTCTGGTACAGGTAATTTTATCCCGTGCGTATGAGGTGTGCAAGGAGTACTTCCGGTTAGAGTAGGGTACTCTAAGCCTTGCGGATTATTACTCTCATATTCGGAGAGTCTGTGAAGAGATAAAGACCTACCATCCGTTTACTACTGGTGTAGCAGTTTAGCAGAAGCAACATGAGGACCTGAATGTTGTTAGGTTTTTGGTAGGATTGAAACCTAAATATGAGGCTATTCGTTCTCAGATTTTGGGTAGTTCTAGTCTTCCATCACTGTTTGAGGTTTTCTCTCATTTACAGCGTGCTACATTGTCTACCCCTTCAAGCATTGATCANCTCGAGGATTTCTCTCGTTTACAGCATGCTACACTGTCTACCCCTTCAAGCATTGATCATGGTATCTCCACTGATCGCTCAGTTCTTGTGGTTCCTAGTGGCCACAGTGATGGTCATCACGGTGGTCGTAGTGGTCAAGGAGGTCGTACAGGTGGTCGTGGGGGTTGTAGTGAATCCCGTTCTTGTACTCACTATGGTCGTAGAGGACACACTGTTGACTTCTATTGGGATTTACATGAAAAATCTTCTGGTGCTGCTAATCAGGCTTCTTATTCGGATGACACCTCGGTTGTTGCTTCTATACCTCGGTCAGTTCCACCATACACTGGGTCAGTTACTATTACACTAGTTCGAGAGGAGTATACCCAGTTCCTGTCCCAGCAACAGTCTGTTCCATCTCCCTCCACTGCTACTTTTCCCCAGTTAAGTATTGCTTCCAC